TCAGACCAAACCGTAGTTTCTCCTTATTTTATTTTCCTACATTTTCTTACTGAGAGCTGTGCAGTGCAACAGCACATTGTGCTATATTCATGTGTTTAGTATCTGTCTTCCTGCCTAGATTGAGCTTCTCTTCCACGGAGGGATTTTATCTTATAAGGAGGTTAATAGTAGGCACAGAATAAGCAACTACTGATGTGAAATGAAATATAAATCAATCAGTAACATTGTACTGCATTAAAAATAAAAGTGGGAAGCCAGACACAAATATTTAAAAGTGTCCTGCATAGACCCATTAAGATATTTTCCTTATGACTATAGTTTCTCTTGTTTGATGAGTTACGGTGTCCTCACATTTAATAAATAAATTTAAGGATTAAACATTTTGTGCTATATATATATATATATATTTTTTTTTTGTCTTTTATCTTTTTTTCCATGTCCGGCAACGGATCGCAACCCTCAGTGTTGCCCCCGTACCGGACCAGGGACCAGCAACGGGATTGCAAACCTCGGTGTTGCTCCCGCACCTCGCTCAGCCAGTGAGCGGGAGCGGGTCTGTATGTGGGATCCGAACCCTCGGGCGGGAGCGCTGCCGCGCTTCCCAAGCGGCGCACTATCCAGTGCGCCACCGGCCGGCCCTTGTGCTATATTTTGACACTACCTATATATTTGTTTCTGGATTGGTGATATTACAAAGTTGAATTTATATAATTTTTAAACATTACACTGTGGTATGATTTGACACTATTTTCTAATCTCACAGAATGATAATCAGCATAAACAATTCCTCGCTCAGCCAGTGAGCGGGAACCGGTCCGTATGTGGGATCCGAACCCTCGGGCGGGAGCGCTGCCGCGCTTCCCAAGCGGCGCACTATCCAGTGCGCCACCGGCCGGCCCTTGTGCTATATTTTGACACTACCTATATATTTGTTTCTGGATTGGTGATATTACAAAGTTGAATTTATATAATTTTTAAACATTACACTGTGGTATGATTTGACACTATTTTCTAATCTCACAGAATGATAATCAGCATAAACAATTTTTACTTTATGACATATTTTCATTATCCTCTTATGACCAGTTTTCTTTTCAGTATAAGGGACATAAATACAGTCATGTGTTGCTTAAGGATGTTCTAAGACATGTACTGTTAGGTGATTTTGTCATCATGCAAACATCGTAGAGTACACACAAAAACCTATATGGTATAGCCTGTAACAAACCCAGCCTGTCACCCCGACTATTGTCCTCTATGTGATCTGCTGCTGAACGAAGTCTTATGCAGAGCACGACTGTACAATATAAATATTTAAAATACATCAATTTCTTAGCTGAATATGCAAATATTTTAAAATTTTCTTGGATAAATACATTTTTGTGAATCTATATAATAGTATTTTTCTTGAAAATTTCCAAATATTATGAAATTAGTGGTCCTAACTGAAAGATAAATACAAGTTTAAGAATTTTTGTTTGTTTGTTTTGTTACTCCCAGGTTCTTACTGTGTTCAAAGTAGAGAGAGTTTAAACAATACATTGCTCATCTAATAATTTTCTCATTTTCAAGACTCTCAGTCAAATTTCCTGGGCCACATTATTATTTTTTTTTCCTGCAGTATTTTCTCCTGAACCAAGCTAGCTACAGTTCATTCAATGAGTAGCTCTTTTTATCTGAACCTGGTAATTTGTTAACAAGTTTTTACTTGTGTTCACTTTTACGCTTTTATCGAGTCTTTTAAAGTTTCTTGTTTTCAAATGTTCCTAGAAGTTATTTAAGGGTTGTTTTCAGGTAGAGTTAATAGCACTTATAGTGACTTGTTTAAGGACAGAAAGGGATTAAAATTTTTTAACTGTTTCGCATGATGTAAACCATAGGCACATTATCTCATTTACCATTTTAATCTGTCCTATGTAGATGTATTATTATGCTTCTTCAGAAGAGGAAACTGAGGTACAGGGTTATGAAATAGCTTACCACAGATGAAACAATTGAGGAGTCAGGATTTGAACCCAGGTCTAGACATATCCAACTTTAGGATTTTTCCATTACCTCATAATAACTCCCTATTAATGTAAGAACCAGAGAGAAGGTGATACTATACAGAAGAGAGCATAAAATCCAGTTGAAATTATCATGATCTCTCACAGAGACTGGAAAGTTCAGATTTTGTGTGCAGTCTTTGCCTATTAGAACAGGAAACTGACAACTGTGAGTAACCTCAATTTATAGACAGGGATCATTTAGTAAGTTTAGTATAGTGTAATTGTAAATTGTCTAATTGCATCAATTAAAAATCATTAAGTCATGCTAGCAATTTTATAGATGAAGAAATAAAGATATAAGAAGTTGAAAATAAAGTAATCAGAATTTAATAGACATCTGGATAACGTGACCTTGTCAATGTTCTTTATTTTAGGATTTTCTATCAAGGAAATTGGTTATAGTTAAGATTCTTTATAAGAGTCAGTTATACAACTATCATTTAATATCGAAAAATGGTGAATTCTCATATAATTCTCATTCTTAAGTTAATTTCCTACTTAGGAAAATCATTATATTTTCCAACCTATGGATATCATCTAGTCTTGTCAAATCTGCCTACTAGATCCTCTAGGATACTTCCCATCAATTCTTCAACTCCACTGCTGCCTACCTGTCCAACTTCATCCCTCACTTTTCTGTTCACATTAGCAATATCAAAATGCATTTTCCAGAAACACTAGGGAGCTTTATACCAATCAGTGCTATACCAATGTCCTCTCAGTGTAAAATATTCTTTCTTCATTTGCTCTCTTGAAAATATGTGACTTATTTTTCACAACCTACTATTTTCATGTGTGAGCCACTCTGAAAATCCATCTCTTAATTCTCCTGATAGATTTAATCATTCTTTTCCACTGTACTAATAATGAACTTCAAATGTGGTTGCATTGTTGTATTGCCTGTAGTGTATTGGACTGGTTTTTATTACATGTCAATCGCTCCTTCCACTCTGTGACTTCATTGTAAGGACAGGCACTCAATAAGTCAATTTAATGAGTCAAAATACTAACAGCCATATTATATTTAACATATAATTGATAGACTATTGAAAAAATACCTTCAAGACTGTAATTGGTATAAAATATAACAGGAAAATGCCCTTTAGGAAGTTGAATTGGAAATAACTAAAGGAAAATTATAGGAAAGAGAATGACTATTTCAAATACAGTAAATATAATATTTGTTTTTAATCTTTATTTTTAATACATTTCATTATATCCAGTAATAACCTTTTTAGAAACACTGGAAGGAGACAATTTATTACTCAAGAAGCAGCCATAAATTTAATTGTGTTTTATTTAGTCAAAATTAATTAGATGGACAAACTATAAAAAACTGTAAAAGTTTTATATCCTAAAATAACTATACTATTTAGGTAAATTATTACTATATAAATTTATTTTGGGATAAAAGGTGAGGAAAACAAAAGGAACTATTTTGTCAAAATTGATAATTTATTGCATATTGTAACTTTGAATTCAGCTGTAATAAAAAAACTACATTTCTTACTAGAAGATTTTTCATACACAAAGTTTGAGAATGTTATCCTAAAACAACCACTGTTAATTAGATGGATTCATAAAGAAAGAAAAAGACCTGGCTTTTAAACTAATATCACAATAAATAGGATATCTTTAGGGTTGATTTCAAAGCCTTTTAGGGAATGGCACATTAATCAACTTGACAAATCTTCCATACTACATTTTAAATTTTCCAGAATTATTTATTGATTCTTAGATGATGACTTGAAAATGAGTGCTGAAATAGATCCACAGGAATTAAAGTTCTTTTTTTCCCCCCTATGAATTCCAGGACATACTTCAGTGGTTCTGTGTCTTAATGCTTTGCTAGACTAATATATGCAGCAGGAATTAATGTCCATCTAAAACTTGAACTATTGATATGGTAACTTTAAGTATCTGCATTTCATCTAGTCTGTCCTTTTCCCATAAGTACCACTATCCTTCTCATACCATGAATCCTAATTTTGGATCAGAAAATATAATAGCTCTCACCTGATATTCTTTATCAGTATTTCACCTCTGCAGGGAAGATGAAAGGTCCTAGTAGTTTATGTTTAGTACTAGTAGTTTAATACAGTTTAATTTCCTGTTTGCCTGCTACTTATGCATTTAAACTCTTTGCTTATTTGATATATTCAGTTAAAAAAAAATCCAAAGCAGTTTTAAAATACAAATTAATTAAACTTCACAGTTAAAATTAAGTGTATCTGAAGATGATCCTCGTTTTGGTCTGGAAATTAAATCAAATAAAAATGAGATGTTCAACACACAAAGAACTTTTTGGGGGCTGTTATCAGAGTCATTCTCCTTAAGGCACTTTCTATTGTCCTGACCTTAAAGCAACACAGGTAGGTCCTGATCACTTTATACAGTGTCTCATACCTTTGATTCAAAGTAAGCAAAACCCCTTTTCGGAAGTTAAGACATTATAATATGCCATAAAGTGGACCTCCAAAATATTAAAAATGAGGAATTTATACTGTCGGTTAATAGGTATTTTTTTTCTACTCACATTTTTTTTTTTAAATATGAAGAATACTATCCCACATTGACCTTGTTTAACTTGCTATTTTATAAAAGGAAAACAGAAACTGCACTGGCAATCCGACCACATTTTAAAGCAGGATTTCTGGCAGTTTGACTTTAGAGCTGTTTAATTTGAGATATTAGACACTGTTTTTCAAGAGCCTTCATGCTGTGCCAAGAAGACAGAAATATTGGTCATATCTGGACCATAGTAGGTGTTGAAAAATATTTACTGAATCAATGAAAGACTGTGGATCATCTCAAACTTCTATTGGAGTCTGCTGACATTTTTTATTTGAATACATGGTAATAATGTGATTACCCTTTAGATGGATCTAACATCTAATTGGCAGCAGATCTGTCAGGGGATGAATCTTCACTGTCCTGAAGTAGTTCACTCACCTCTTTAGGTGCATCAGCTTCAATGAATTCAGAATAAATCATCTTGGCTTTGGAAGCAATTTTTTCTGCACTTTCTGTTTTCTTGAAGTCTTCACAGGCAAGCCAGAATTCAACGTTTTCTTCACTAAACTCTGATTTTAGAAATGTTCGAAAAGCATCTAGACCAGCTATAAAATAAATATGAAAAACTCTTGTATAATATCATACAGAGCAGTAATGTGACCAAAACGATTACATTGTATATTATGAGCATGTACTGAGTATTCAGTGGCAAACATTTATCATTCTCCTAAATACATTTATATACTTCAGTTTCTACCTTTAGAAAAAGTTATTTTGAATCAGTAATTTTATAAACATAAAATATTTATATCTGCATTTCTGCAATTAACTCCATTAACAAAGAAAACCTGTACTTTTTTTTTTTTTTTTCCTAGGCCTGAAAAGTCTAGAAGTTATGTTTAGGAGAATGTCTTGATGGTAATTATTTCATAGCATGGGCTGCTTTTTACAGCTATTGCACTAAGCTCGGATAAAATTAATGATGTTATCCTAACTTCACAGTAAGAATATCTTCGTTGCTATGAGTTGATGAAGAAACACCATTTGATGCTAAGGGGTTAAATTGTGTTGGTTTGGGCTTAAAGTGAAGGAGGAAGGGCTGACATTTACTAGTCTGGGGTGAATATATTGGCCAACTCTAATCTCTAAACCAAGAAAGTAATTGACAAAATATTTGGTGTGAATACTTCTCCCTTTTATGTGGTGATAGGTAGTTTTAATTCTGTAAGGCAAATAAGTGGGCTTTTCCCCAATGTTATTTTAAGCAAAACTCTGATGTCTCCCCTTCTCCCTCAAGGTACCTGTGCTTATTGTTTTCCTCCTGCTCCCATGCATTCTCCTGAGCATGTACTTCTCCAGAAACTTTAGACCAGGGACTGCAAATGGACCCACTCACTTGCAGGCTCATTTATTTTGGCTTGCATATCACATGCATTTTTTAAAATTTAATAACCACAGGCTGGCTTGCAATCTGTGGTTCCCATAGGTCCCAATTCTCCTCTTTATCTTACTTTCAGCCAAATTTATACCTTTATTTTTTGCTCTTATAGATAGTTGACTTTGACCATGTGTTTAGACCCTTCTTTTCTACTCCTTGTCAAAATGTTCCCTGAAGTATTCTTCTTTGGTATATCCAGAGCTCATTTGAAAAGGTAATTCTTGCTAAATAGTTTAGAGCTCAGTATGCCTCTAGTTGGATAGCAGGTTAAAAAGATCATTGTCAGATTCCCTCTGTTGATCAAACTAAACCTGTATATTAAGGTCATGTTTCCAGTTTCTGAGTTTGCATTCTTCTGATGGCAGTATCTGTTTATAGGTGAGACTGTATGTGTCTCTGAGGAGGAAACATACACCAGTGCTTTTGTCATTCAGAGGAATTTGCCTTCCAAAACAGCGGTGCTTTTCTCCTCTAGCTACCAGGAGGGTCCCCTTTTGCATGCGCTCAAGGCAGTTCTTCCCTGACTGCAGGCTCAGAAAGTTAGTCCTTCAAGTTCCAAAGTATGGGAAAAATAAGCTTCTGGAAAATCAGGGGATAGGAAATACTGACTAGGGAAAAAATATATGAGAAAACTTTATGGAAAAGGGGCCTGAGTCCCTTTGTAGGTTGCTGCAGGTAGAAAGCAAAAGTTATTTAATGAGAGGAAACAAAAAAGAGCTTTCTGGAACAAGATTAAAGTGTCTAAAAACACTGGATTAAAAATAGATTTAACAATTTTTTTAAATGATTTGAAATAGAGTTGAAATAACAAGTCATTGCAAAAGGTTATCAGGTACCAATTAAAATTCTCAGGAGCAATATTGGAGACTGTGGATGTTGTAAATATGTGAGCACTATATAAAAATTCAATTAACTGCACGTTTCTTGCATTTAAAAATACATCCAAGAAGCTTCTGTGACACAAATTTAGGTTATAAAAATCTTCTTAGTAACACTCAATTAAAATTTTCCCTGAATGTGGTCCAAACAATGATGAATTTGAGAGGTTTGAACAGAATCTATGCTTAAATCTATTTTATATAGAAGATAAAATATACTTTAATAATGCTGAAAGAATATTGTAGATTCATGCCTGGCACTTTTTTATGTGCATGTCTTAAAGCGTATGAAGCTTTCTCCCTGGGAAGATTATCTAAGTGCATCCCAGAAAGATGGGAAGTTAGAGATCAAGAAACAATCATTAATTTCTCCTGCTCTTCAGTTTTAATAAAGGGCTACTTTGAACTAACAACGTCTTTTTCCTACTCCCATCACTTGGTTTAGGACCCAATGGATCAAAATACACAACTTAAACAACTAAAACTGGGGCTAGTCATCTCTGTTTTTTACACAATATTCTGTCGACCTACTCTTCCATTCTATACATACAATTTGAATATTCAAAGGATGCCAGTGATTTTGGAATGATAGGCTACATACAACTAAAATCATTATGCAGGGTATTCTCTGCAGAATGGAAAGACTACTGGTCAGCAATACAGGGTGAAGACAACACTAATGCCTGTTCTCAAGTCGACAAAAACAACTAGGTAATTTGGTGACTTTAGCTATTTAAAGCATTAAAAAGCATGTACTCTATTGCTATTTCTCTGGCATAAAAAGCAAAACCAAACAGCTTTTGAGATGAATCTATGACTTTTCTTTTTAATATTGTATGAAATATAAAATCCCAGTGGGTTTGCAGGTGGAAGCATTTGCCTTTGTCTCAGCACCATCCGTGCCTCTGTTTTGTGCTGCTTTGTACAGACTTCTCCACTCTGGAGCCTGCCGAGTCACAACTCACCAAGATACTTTGGTGAGGCTCTTAGCAAACCTGATCTATCCCATTGGTTATACACACTTAAAAAAAAGAAACACACCATTCAAAATTTACAAAAGTGCAATTCCTTTTTTTTAATATCTTTAATATATATTTTTAGTTGGTTTGTAAGAGTTATGTGAATTATTTTATGTTAATTCCTTAGAAATTAGGCATTTAAGTATAATAAATTCAGACTATTTAGACCCATTTGATTCAGTGTAACTTCATATATGAATAAACAGCTGTGAAGCATGTTTTAAGCTTTTCTAATATTCTTTTTACTTTGTGTATTTTAAATGGAAATACCATTTGATTAGTACAAATAATGCTACATTATAAATATTTTCTATATAGGTCTCTGTAGTGTCATTTATTCTCCCTCTTGGGTGAGAGAGAGCTGCTGCGAAGCAGTGGATACCTTTGTGACTATTTTGTTTATAACTATTTTCTATCAAAGACTGGGGCATTTTATTTATAATTGGCCAAAATTACCTTATTGAACCATTCTATTAAATATTAATATATGTTCACACATAAAGATATTAATATACACACGTACACATTTAAGTGTTTCTGTATTCACAAAAAATGAGAATAACTCAGTTGAAATAAGTACTTTAAAATGCTTTTTATTTTAACCTACAGGACATATAAAACCAGTGATTCATTTAAGTTTTCAACTTTTCAATAGTTTCTTTCATCTTGAACCAAAGGCAGTCATTATATACATCAAATGATAGTGAGCTAAGAAAATGAAAAATTTCTCACTTGCTATTTGAAATTTTCCTTTTATTTTATGGTTTCTATAAGTGTATCTTATTTTAGGCCAAAGCTAATTTCATTTAGACTTTAGACCTTTATAAATCTATGTGACTGTTAGGAATCTTTTACTTCGGATACTGATCAAATTCATACTTTATATGTCTGCCACTTTCAGAATTTGACTATTTCTATTTAATTATTATATTTTTAAACCTATTATTTGTTGGATCTTACCTTCGTTGGCTAAAAGTGTGTCCATATTTTCAGACCACGCCATTGCTTCTGTGGTTGGTGACCTGTAGAAACAACATCTACCCTTGACAATAGCATTGTGATCTTTTTCTTCTACAACCTATTGTAATATTAGAGCTATGTGTAATTATTGAATTACATCATTTAAATGAGCTTTGTGCCCTTAATCAAACAGCAAAAGGTCAACAAAAATTATATAATGCTTTTCCACAGTGGACAGCTATAACAACATGAAGTGTGATATAATTTGACATCGGCAAATTATTAATCTAACCCACTATGTTAATAATATTTGCACAAGATATAGGTTCTGTGGAGCAACAGCAAATTTCTTCTCAACTACAAATATATTAATTGTTAATTTATGTAGCATTATTCTAGTCCACTCTTGAAAAGTTACTGTGATAGCAGTGGTGATAAATGAACTATTTTCTAAGTTTTCACAGTACAAAAATTATCTATTTTATAATTATGCATCTCAAAAAAGTTCAAAAAAGTTTTAAGATTTTTTTAACACAATGATAGTGTAAACATTTGTTCATGGTATTTTGAGAAGTTTTTACCACCACTAAGGCAGTCTTTATTTCTCCTTAGACTGGTATGCTTCTAGTTCTGGATTGATTTATTTAAATCTAGAAATCTGTCACAACAGGGTAATATCTTTTCCAAAGCAGTCAAAAAATTTATAGACTTAAGTCTTTTGAAGAAGGTATACTTTTGGGGATGTGATGTAGAAATAATAAATCAGATTTAAGATATAAACTTTCTGAGATGGAAATATATTATGCATTATTCCCCTTAATAAAAAATCCTGATGAAATAAGCCTCCATACATAGAAAGCATCTGCTGCCTCCAGAAAACATGCTGGATTATGTAGCTCTGATGTGCAAATGACCTAGTTATGGCAAGAGATGGTCAGATTGTCCAATTTAAGGTTTCTATTAAAATGACTGATAATAAATAGATACAGTCTCATATACAGTTATTCCTATAAAATTTTGCATTTGCACATCAAGGTGACTAATCTTAAATATGCTAGTGTGAAGTAATCCCTATGCCTTTATATTCTATTACTTCCTATAATTTGCTGCAGTTTTTATAATTTTTGTTATGATTGATTGTGCTCTCTTCTGCTATTGCAGTAGTAGTTGTATTTTTAGATAATAAGGGTTGTCCTCATAGAGAGCACATAGAATGGATTGTGACTGGGAATGCATTTTGCTATCTTCCATTACTCACATTTCCTTTCTCTATTTTTTTTGCCTCTAGCAGTGAGCAGCTGACTTTCCTTTCTGTCTTGACTCACTAAATTTTGGAGACACAAGATTACTTGTGTAACCATTTTAAAATGGTGTTTTTTTAATGCAAATGGACATTTTACAAGATTTGGGATGTTCAGTTTCCATTTTTCATAAGTGGGACCCAATTCTAGATTTAATTTTACATTGAGGAGCTTTTGTGCACTCTACAACCTGCTACTCAAATAAGCTTATGCTGTATTTCATGTAACTCAAATATGAGATCTTGTAGGATTTATAAAATTATCACAAGGTCACTTAAAATGCACATGTTTAAAAATATCTCTTATTATAGGATGAAATTTGGTGGTTAGCAGGGTATTCAAATGAAAAGCTACTCAGTGTCTGTGGAATATATGTGAACGAATAGGATAGAGAGGAGTCTGGCCTCATAGTATATCCCTTTTAAATGAGGAACAGCCATCCAGGAAAAACACCGAGAAATGGAATCTAGGCAAATTCATTCAAAGATGAACATCTACTACTCCCCCATTAGTATGTATGTTCTCCAATGACAGGGCTTAGATGTTATTTTTTAGCATTGAGAGCAGTGTGTCTGGTCTAAGAAATATTTATTGAACATATTAACAAATAACCAATGGATGACCAAACCCCCAACAATGGCTGGTATTAAAATCTTCAATGGAAGAGGAGTAATGGTGTTCAAGATGCTGGTCGATTACAGTGATGAACAGATTATTGAAAGGTATTGCTAAATTGTATTAGCTTCAAAGGCCCTGGGTGTTTGGGGGCGACAGCAGAGGAGAAATGATGCAAAACCATCACTGGGGGGCAATAGACCATGATGGGCCTCACTCTCAACTCTGAGGCATGTGAGGCTGGAGAGGACAGTCAACATCCGTGCTGGAACGTGTCAGGACAAGTCATATCCTTTAGGGAGAGCCTGGTTTTGGTTAGGCCAAAAGAAAAAAAAAAAAAAAAAAAAAAAATTCCATGATGAACTTTTTGGATGCAAAGGAGTCTTTGTAGAATGGAAGTGTTCAAATAAATGGCCACCACTCTTACCGTCTTCATTAATGTAGAAAAACAGTAAAAATAGAAAGGAAGAAAAGACTGGGAAATAGTGTTGAACCAAAGACAAAAGAAAATTTTTCAATGTTTTGAATTACAGAGAGATACAAAAATATCATAGATATTCTAAAGATATAGATATGAAATATTATCGATAATAGAATTAGAAATACGAGGCTATTGTAGTATTAATTAAGGTCCACAAAATGCTGACATTGCTGTAATGGGAATATTTGCCCTTCAACTCTGAAGGAATATCTTTGCTGATGTGTGCTAATGCCCAGAATGCTTCCAGCTCACTGTTTTCTAACCTATTTCTCACCCAGAAGGTGCAATTTAGGTAAAATGTAACTATTTTAAGAAGTAATGCTTGTTCATTACCATCAAAATTTATAAAATTTGGAGTTTCGTGTATATTTGTAATTCTGTTGAAGAGCAAATTAACGGTATGAATAAACTGAAAGGCAATACTAAGAAAAGCACGAAAACGCACAACAATGCATTGAATGTTTACATGTACACCACGTTGCGATAAGCACATCTTATACTTTACCTAATTTAATCTTGAGAATTATAGTCTGTTTTATTCCGATTTTACCAATGAGTAGAGTCTCAGAGATGCTAATCACTGGTGCAATGTCCCACAGATACAGTCATGTAATAGGTATTCAAACACAGGCATGTCTGCTTGTAACTCAAACTCCTGCCACACTTCTTCCTAAAAGGGATGAGTCAGTGCATATATGTGTATACCGTATTCATGTTTTCAAACATTTATAATAACTGCTTGGGAAGTGATTTTTCTGTAATAGAGTTTTATCAAACTTCACACAAACATTACCACAAGAGTTGAATTGTGGTAATTGACTACTTGATAGAAAGTGTACACAAGACAGACATTCTTAAAGCCTGTGCATTTATCAAATAAAAATAGTATATTTCTTATGTTAGAAGTGAGTGAAGCATATGATTGTGTTAAGAAAGAAATCTAATGAATAAAAATTGGGGAAAAAAGAGGGTGGCTGATTTAAAACTATACTGACTTGGTTGACTTTTATTTGACACGTATTACCTTAAATAAATGGGCAATGTGCCACTCCTTTATTTCTTTTGTGTGTTTTTTTTTTTTAAATTTAGATTTTAGTTATAACCTTAACAAAGGTTTTGTCTGGCTCTTCTCATTTGTGTGTGTGTGTTTATTTTGTGTAAAATTATAATGCATAATCGGAGTAACTTTTTGTGTGTGTATTATTTGCCGTAAAAATGCACTGTGTATCTGGAGCCAAAATTGCACTTAGTCTTTCATGGGGTTTTGGCTGATTTCCTTTTTGTTTTCTTCATTAAGCAAGTGCCATCAAGGCCAGCAGTAACCATATTACATGTCCAGAGAAGAGCCAGGCCAGATGGGAACTGCGTGAAAGATACCAGTTATCTTGCTAATTGTGCCAGCTAGAACCAGTTGTATTGCATTAAAAAATGTGGAATCCAACAACTCAGCTGTTCACACTCAATTAGCAGTGTGCTGGAGAATGGAAAATTCAAGCAAGGAGTCCATGTGCTCCAGGAAGTGACAGCTGCTTCCTTACCCGGCATTAAATATCCATGTAAATATTTCTCAATAAAATTGTGATAAATAATTTTTGCAAGGATCATATATATACATGTTACATCTCTAACTCATTTCATAATTTTGAAAACCATCACACAGGAGACCTCAGTGGTCTTCCATCACTTTATAACCTTTCTTTAACGCATATAAAGAATTAGTTGCAAAAGCAGAACTCAAATTGTTAACATATTTTAGAAAAGAGGAAATCAATAGAGAACGGAGAAAAATCAGGAAGAAAGAATGAACATACTCATCATAAATGAAGAAAACAAAACATCTAGACTAACGAAGACTCAAGTGTTTCACTTGTACATCTTCTGAGATAAAAATAGCTTTAAACAGCAACTCACTTCACTGGCATTTTTCGTTCCAGTGTCTGACTGTCACAGATGATGCCGGATTTCTCTTTCTGACTGATCTTCAAGCTGGAGGTAATGTGACAGCAGGAACATTACAATTAGTATGCAAATACCTATCCCCTGGGTCACAAGCTGGCATTCTTTAAATCATGCTATTCTCAGCTTTTTCCATTTCGTTAACTTTTCATTGGTCAACACACTTAAACTTCTAAGTAACAAATAACTCTGAATAAATGTGACATTTCTCTCAGTCTGTGGCATTGATGAAATAAATTCCATTTGAAAGTTCAATTTCTGAAATTTATATACATTTATTTACAACTGTTGTTCACATGAGGTAAAATCAATATATATTATAATATATATTTAAATATATATTTAATATTCACCTTTAGGTCTTTAATCTGTCTAAAAGATCATTTTGTTTTCCTTTGATTTTCAGGAAGTCTGAGGAAGGCCTTATTTTTAAAACACTTATCTCAAGCGACTATGAAGTACTAAAAACATTTTATTCATGGACTAAAATATTCTGGCACAAGGCATTATGCTTTTCTTTGACACTTACACTGTTTTTGTATTTTAATACATGTATTCTCTGTTACTGGAGACCATGAGTCTCATGGCAATTTATGACAATATTTCCTTATGCAGCACTGGTGTTTAAAGTCATAATGCTAATGTATTTATCAAAATAAAGGCCATATACTGACTTTTTTTTATGTAGTCAAAGTCGTGTAACCCCGTGCCTTGTCAAACTTTTATCTCAATATAATAGAGTTCCTTGGTAGTAAAATTCTACTGGAATATATTTATGACCCTCAGTGTCAATTAAACACTCTTAAAAGATTGATGACTTTTAGGGTAGAAGCAAGAAAGGACTCCAAAGGAGGCAGGAAATCTGCTTCTCCCTGACTTAGCATTGAAGTGTCCCCATTTAGTTCATCAATAGAAATGCCTAGTAGGTGAGTGGCCCTGGATTATCGAGACTGATGGAAATAGAAGAGATGACCTAACAAAATCAGTGTATCATTAAGAAGGGCAATCATTAATTAGCTCAATTCATTTTTTTAAAATTCAAGCACTGCTAAGTAATGTTCTTATGATATGCAAAAGCTGAATCATTAAACATATTTTGACTTTTGGTTTCACTGGAAAATAACGCATTTTGGAAAATAAACGTCAAAATATAAAGACTCTCTTGGTAGAAACCATGCAAAGTTTTTAAGAAACAAGAGCCAGGAATAGGCTTATTTTGCATTATAACTTTAAAACAAAAACAAAGTTCTATTTTGAGTTCAATGCAGTTATAATCATTCTCTTTCTCATAAATCCTTCCATAAACCATAATTATTATTTGTTTAATGTGCACTTACCATTCCTTTCAAGTTTCATTGTTCAGATAATACTAATCATTGGATTTGTTTACCAAAATGAAGGTTCCTAACTCAGTGATCAGGTAAGAAACTTTCTTCTTAGGCTGAATGATTTTTTATAGTGTTCAATACATCTTAACAAAAGATATCCATATAGAGATATTGTTGGATCACTTAAACATCAGCAGCTTTTAGTTCAAGGAGGTTCAGACTCCCTTATGAGAATTTATGCTTAGTGTGGAAGCTGAATAATGTCCCCCTTCCCCCAAAGATGTCCATGTCCTCATGCCTGAAAAATGTGAATATATTGATTATCCCTCAAGTGGCAAAAGGGATGTTGATTATTTTAGTTTATCCTGTGGACCCAGTGTAATTATGAGGGACCTTTTAAAAGCAGAGGCAGGAGAGTTAAAGTCAGAAGCAGGATATCTGACAATGGAAGCAAGAGTTTGGAGTGATGTGAGGAGGGGGCTAAGAGCCAAGGAATACAGGGGGCCTTCTAGAAGCTGAAAAAACAGGGAAATAGATTCTATCTTCAGAGACTTCAGAGACAACCATCCCTGCTAACACCTTGATCTCAGCTCAATGAGACTGAATTTGGACTTCTGGCTCCCTGGATCTAAGATATCTTGTGTTGTTGTAAGCCACTAAGTTTGTGATAATATGTTACAGCAGCAGTGGAAAACTAATACACCCAGGAAACTCCTATCTTTAAATCCCTGCTTAAAAGAAGGTAAGAATGTAATAAAACAGGCATAAATTTTGATATCAGAGCAGTGACTTCACATGTAAATGTGGACCCTTCACACTTGACAATAACCTTTACTTCTGGGAGCCTCTTTGTTACTGAAATGGAGATAGTACCTATCACACAAGATTATTGTGTGAAACTAAAAGGAAACACACCAGGCCTACATATCTTACGTAGTGTTATATATATGTTTGTTTTATTTTCTTTCTTCTTATTTGATATTCACAGAACTACGTTAAGATAATATTATGGAAGATCTTATGGACAATGCTGTCATCATGCAATCAATGGTGTTTTCTGTGCAAAGATATGAGATTGATTCTACAAGTTTTTTGAGTGCTTACATTGTGTAAGAAATTGTGATAGGTAGTATAGGAATACAAATCTCTAATCAGACAGTATGAATTGGAAAATTAACATGACAGGCATGTGTGGAATGAATCGGGAGACTGTGAGAATAAAGGCAGGTATGAGAGCTAAACATCATGTTGTACTCTATAAACATATATATGTAATTTTTATTTGTCAACTTAAAAAATTAATTAATCAATTCAAAAAATAAAGAGGAATTGCAGAATCACAGAATTTTTTTTTAATATCAAGTTTATGGATTAAGTAAATGACACAAATTATGCTTATAAACCACATGTCATAGCTATTATACTTTAGGGAACTGAATCCTGCAGTCAGTTTCCTAGTTTAAAAAGTAACACAGTTCTTTGTCTTCAAAATTGCAATGAAATGTTTAAGAAATTAAAAGAAAGTATATTGCAGTGGTCCGAGCATGAGATGACAAGGTCTGGAATAGCACAACTGTAGAGGGGTGGAACAGCAAACAGTAGTGTGGTGCCTGTGTGTGGGGATGGGGTAGCGAAGGTCAAAGGAACGGATTGCAGACCTGATTGCCTGAAGGAATGGTGTCCCCAATGGTCATGGTAATAGCAAAAGAAGAGCAGGGTTGGGAAGGGACTGGCTGGGTAGCTCAGTTAGGGAGGGCACATCCTTTGAACACCAAGTTCTTTTCTGTGAGACAGAGGGCACAGCGTTTTCATAGCCTGCTCAAGGACAATACCGAGCTTTAAAATCTTTATGAGACCTGTCTATTAGTTAAAAAGCTTTTGTTGTTTACACTTCACTACCAAAGGTAGGAGAAAAGAAACTAATGAGAATTGAATTCTGGTACTTTTATAATTTCATCAAAGAAAAAGTATGGCATTTTTTCTTGATGCAAGTATTTAAAAAAAAAAAAAGGTAGATTTTATGACATCCAAGTGAGAATGTCATGATGGATTTTGGGGGAAAAAACAATAATAGATAAAATACTTGAGCAGTTTAATAATAGTTTAAATACGTTGAACATATGGATTAGGAACTTCCCACATACTATCTCCTTGGTCATCGTTCTATGAAATAGATAATATTTTTATACCATTTTACATATGAGGAAACATGAGTTATGACACTCAAAGACATAAAATAATTTGCTTAAGATTATGTACTAGAAAGCGGAAGGGCTGGAGCAAGGTTGAGCGGTGGGAGGACTTGGTATTAGAGTGGTGGTGATGGTTAAACCTGTTAGATTGAGTTTAACAAGGGCAATGGCACAGAATAATCAAGCAGAGAAATGAGGAATTAACTACTTATTTATTTAATAAACATTTAAATACTCTAGTAACTGTTGCATGCAATATAAAGGGGATCTGGGGAAGAATAAATAGACAGTAAGTCAAAGAAAGACTAAGGATACAGAGTGGTGTAGTTTTTTTTTTTTTTTTTTTAAGAACTCTGTTTACAGCCTTTTGGGAAAAAGAAAGGATGATAAAAGATGACAAAGAGAGGTTAAGGGGAATGAGGAATGATAACATACTTTGGAATTTGCCAAGGTGGTCACGGGGAAAACAGAGACTAACAAGAATGAGATTAGATCAGCAGAACAGTTGACAACAAAACTGCACTGATTATTAGTCCATATTATGTTCCAGTTCGAATTATAAGGGGAAAGGAGAGATGAGTGACTTTTTTTTTTTTTTACAATTGTCTTCCTAGATTAATATAATAGGATTATATAAACAGTTTATTTTAGGACTAAATAATTAAAAAGTTAATTTTCTTTTTATAAACAAGAGAAAAGAAAATTACATTTTCTTGATTCTGCTTTGCCTCACGTTCCTACTACAGGAGGTGTCATTTATAAAGCAATGAGCCTGATTTTTGCATGGTTCATAAATTATTTCTGAACGCAATTCTAAAGGAGAAGTTAGAAATGATTTGAATAACAGCAGCACCATCAAAATATGTAGGATCTCCCAAAGTGGCTGCTCGGAAATATGGTGCTCATTTGGAGGGATAGTTCTAAGTATGCTTGTAGACAAATCAGTCCCATCACTTGCTAGTCACACCTCATGACTATGTCCTAAATGTACTTTGTGTTTCCTCAGAATACCAAGTCACTGATAGTCACACAACCACTTCAATAAAATAAAATATTTAGAAGCTTAGCAAGATTTCTGATATAAGTAAAGATGTCTTATGTTTTAAAATTAAATAAACATTCTACTTTTAGTGGATTTATACGCCTCAATTAATTAATTAAAATTACATTTTAGTAGCATTATAGAAATTAGTAAAGCTAAAAGTATTATCCAAATAAAAATATAGCTTCTTTTTTTTGGGGGGGGGATAAAGAATGTTTAACTCCACATTATAATCTCATAGTCTTCACGATATCTATTATTAATTGATACTTTCAGTTTTTCTTTACTGTAGTTGAGTGTTTTAACAACACAAAGATAAATAACAATTTAATTGACTTTTTTTCCCCATGTTTCTGATTTCCATGTTGTCATTTTGTATATACAACATCTATTTAATTCTTCTCTTGAACTAAACTTCCCTTTCTTTACTACTTGGTAAAGAGCTCAGTATGAAAAAAAAAT